CCCCCATGTTGCCATGGCGACCAGTCCACGGCACACCCCTCCCCCTTGTATTCAGACCGTCAGCCGAGCATACAGAGTGCAGTTGACAGCGTACCCCCAGCCGCATGCTCACTCACACTGCTGTGACCCCCCCCACCCCAGCCAGTGCATGCTTCACAGACACTGCATGCACTGCGCAGCAGACAGACACGTGTGTAATGCGGCCATGTGTCGCTTCTGCTGTGCTGGCAGGGTTGCGTACCTCAGGCGGCAGGAGACGGTCACGGGGCGGGCAAGAAGAAGAGAGAGATGACACTGTTACCACGGTAATGCATCACTGAAACCTCTCACACTGCACGTGGTTGTGAGCTCCCCGAAATGCCCACATACAGCCTCCCTATCGAACAGTTACATATGAGGTGACTTGCTGAGTTGTCTGCCCTCCCTGACCTTAAGGGAATTGCTCACAGAAAGATTTTCTCTTGCACAGTAACATGGCTGAGAAGGAAACATCTCAGCTGAGGTGGGGGGGGGATGATCATTCTACACTCTCTCAGAGTCTCCTTTTAAATGGTGGCAGAAGAAACAAACAGAACTAAGATCTCAAAAAAAACCCTGATATATATAGGCTGTGAGACTCATTGTGTGCCAATATCATTTATTTAACAGATGCTTTTGTGCAGAGTGACATATGACTGAGAATCTGAGATCACAGTCAGCACTTGGGGATAAGAGCCTTCCTCAAGTGCCCAACGGTAAAATAACACTGCCTGCCATGGGACTGGAACCAGTGACCTTTCGACCATGGTCACAGAGTCCTAACCACCACTTGAGTCCTCTGGCAGTTTTGAAGATTTATAAAATATATTTAGCAAGGTAAATTCTGAAACCACACTCAATCCACAATTAGTCAAGTCATTTCTAAAGCCACAATACAAAAAAAATGTAACATGGCCGCTCACCTCTCCTGTCAGCAATCTGTAGGTACCCCGCAGAGAGGTACTGCTCCATGTCCTGCTGGAAGGCCTCCTCGAAAAATTTCTGCCTCTCCTTCAGCTTGACCTGTGGGGGGCGCTCTGCTTCCAGCCTCTTCTGGTCCTGCTCGGGGTCAGGCTCCGCTGCGGAGGGTGAATTATATGTCAGCTATTGGACGCAAACAACCTCAGGAATCTTCCAGTTCATGTGACCTCGTTTTACTTTGGACCTGCTGAATGCGAGTCAAAAAGCCGGTTCTGCACATATTGCGTTTTCTATCATGGCAGGAAGGCTGCTACTATCCTAAATAATGCACGTTTGGTTTACGGCGGCGGAGAACAATGTCGCAGAGCTTGTGCTCCAATGGCAACGATGCAGGAAAGAGGGGAACTGGAAGCTTCCTGAACTCAGAGTAATCCCAGACATAAAGACCACATCCAAATACACAATAACCAGCAATTGTGCCAGGGCAGACAATGAGTGTTGGAAACGAAGCAACTAGCAACCGCTGCATGTGGAGACTGGACATGATCCGAGTGGCTTGCCAAGGTGTGGCAGGCCGTAGCTGCAGATGCCTCTACAGATTTATGGCAGGGGACACGCGGACAACCACGTAGATGGGGCTGAACACAGTCTTAAACCTTAAACCACTATGGGGGCCGAGTTCTTACTTTTAGTGTATGCTGAGCCCTGCGAGACGTGATGTGCTCTTTGGCCCTGAGACGATCGCTCGCGTTCGTAATGGCCGCATAATAGAACAGCGATAACATGATTGAGGGCTTCTCCCTGTTCCTCCATAAACAGACGCCAGCCTAAAGCACCGTGCGCCGGTAAAAGCAAAGAGCGCAGGGAAAGCCGGCGGCGGCGGGCACAGGCTGCTCGATTAGGTCTGGGACCTGGGGAGGTGCTTTCAAATACCCCCTTCCCTTTAGTTTGGCATCACATCAGCATTTCTTACAGGCCCCAGCCTTCCAAAAGGGTACTGTTCACGGTGCTAGATGGCCCCGGATGATGCTCCTGATCCCCGATTTGATTGGCACCTCTCTCTCCAAGAAAACAACAGCCCCCACCCCCACCTCACCGGAGCAATGCCTGAATATACGTCCAGCTAATGCAGTAAATGGCAAGTGCTTCCACTGCTTATTAGGGATTGGTCCGGAGGGTTGCAAGGCACATTGAAGTGAGTTCGAAGCAGCACTGTCTCCAAGAGCCGTGGGAGATTAGGACTCGGATGGATGTTTCTAAAAGGAAATTAATTAGCCTGGTTTCATAATTTAAAACCTTTCAGTTCAGCACAGCTCCGAGAATAATTCGAATTTTTCTGTCCATCTTATTCCTCCGTCCATCAGATCCCAGACGCTCCCTGCACAGGCCTTCCACAGCCAACCCTCACACCCGTTCGATGAGCGCTAGCTGCCAGCAATTAGCCAGCCTCCTAATCAGCGCCTCCCAAAGTGATTGACTGAGCGGCTGTTAGCCTGACAGCAGAAGCCAGCTAATTGCCAGCAGATGCCTTAGCGCGGTGGAGGGTTACGCGCTCGGCGAGGTATTACGCTCATTTTTGAGTTTGTATAATTGGAGCTGGTCATAAAACCTTTTGTTTTATTAAGTTACTTACTGGAGGTTTTAATTACGCTTTTTGCTTGCATGCTGCCAAGACAACTGCCCATCTGTCACTCACCCATGTCTTTGTAAAGTGCCTAAACCGCTCGTTAACTGTACGCCCGTCCCGGTGGAAATCGGCTGTACCTTGTTTGAGACGGTAGCATAAAAAGCAGGAACTTGCATGATTGGCTGAAGGCCCGATTCCACCGGCCACAGTATCAGCCGTGTGTCCAGGCCTCTCCATCCTCAGCTTGCGACACTCACACAAGGCCTGCATGACAGCGCTTTCCTCTGCCGGCTCCCCGGAGGCACACTGCACGCTGTTGGTCTCCAGATGAGCCCCAGGGGGCCCCAGTCACATGACATACCGAGTCCCTCTTGGGTGGATGAGCAGGGTGCCTCCTGTCAGTCTGAGAGGCACAGTCCAGCTCCATGCTGGGCTGAGCTGGGTACAACTTCAACCTGCTACTATTGCCTGGCAGTGCTCATCCTGCCATTAATAATGTATCAGCAAGGCCATCGCTAGAACCTTCTCAGCTTGCCTAATGACTAGAGACCCCTGCACACCCTTTTACATAAACCAAGTCATTTCCACTTTAATCTGAAGAGACTGGGGTATCGTTACGAAGTAATGGCCTTGCAGGAACCGTAAAAGGCATACATGAAACAGGCTTTATGAGGAAACAACTTTCTGGCCTCCTACAAATAACACCATGCTCTTCAGCAGCAAAGTAAGACATGAAAAATGCAAGCAATATCTGAAAGTGAATCGGCAGACTTTGACGGGATTCTGTCACACATCAGCAGATCGATGGCGGTGCTGTGAGGGAGGAACAGAAAGCGGTGAGGTGGTGTCCTGAAGAGGGCTCTCTACCTTAGGACCAGAAGGCAAAAGCTGGAGACCAAGAACATCCAGTTCCTTGAGTGGAAGTGTTTATTATTCTCATCTACTAAGGAGTAGGGGACAGCTTCACCCTTCAGATCCACTTCCTTTAAGGGTTTTCATCAGATACATCTTCTGTAAACAAGATCGATTCCACATTTGCCTCCTTCATCAGCTCCTCTTTGGGGGTGGGAAAGTGTCTTGTGTAGCACTGTTGTGTCACACCTCCAAATCTGGGGGTTTGAATTCCACCTCCGCTCTCATCGTGAACTTTGCATGTCCTCGACGCATCACACAGGTTTCCTCTGTGTTCCAGGTTCCTCCTGCAGAATCACCGCTCCTGCTCTCCATGACATCCATCCCTCTCTCAATATTCCTCATCTCACCTGCCTGCTTCATTACGTGGATAATCCTCATTTCTCTGTGATGCAAATGGACGACAGCCCACTCACATGTGCGTGCCAGTGTCTGCTGGGCGAAGACCCGTCTGCTGACACCTGGAACGCGCAGGAACCTGTCGCCCACCACATCCATCCATATAAATGGGGTCCGCCCTCACGTTTCACTGCCCTGGGCAGACTGCAAGTAAAATGGGCCGAGACAGAGGGGAGGGGGGGTGGGGAGTGTTGGAAGACAGAGCCCGGCATGGTCTGTCAGCTCCTGTCTGTCCGTGTGCCAAGAGGATAGTAGACCTGTCCAATTGCATCATCTCAGCCTCAGCCGAAAGACGAGGGGCAGGCAGCCCGTGGAATCTACTTCCCCACCCCCACATTATAGATAAGACTAAATGTGGCATGCGAAAAGCAGTGGTGACTGTGAGCCCAGCCTACCATACCTTAGGACCAGAAGGCAAAAGACTAGTAAAGCTGCCTCATGAAGACAAAGACATAGCACTTTGCTGTAAACCCACAAGTGACTCGGAGCCCCCGTTCACATTTTACAGCAGCTGTTTCACCGTCGAGCTTGCTAAAGGCCTCCCTTCTGGCCTTGAAATCTATACGACAGCAGTCGGACACGGCAGTTAGAAGCTTGTGTCATTCTTGAGAAACTGATTTCTGAGATCCTGTAAGGCTGTGTCTCCATGTTGCACAGTCCAGAGATCAAAATAACACAGTCAGTAATCTGCAGTGAAGCATTAAGAGGTCCATAGTGTCGCAGCAGGAATGCAGTCACCCCTTCAGGGCCACTGATACTGTATGGGCCCTTACAGCGGCGAAAAAATGTTATGAAGAGGCAGGCCCAATGCCGATGGGCTACGGGTAAAATTACCTGGGATGCCGAGTCCTCCAAAGGTCACTGCACTGACTAAACCAGAAGTCATTTGGCAGGGATATTTAACGAGGATCGCTTGAGCCGTCACAGAATGGATGGGCGGATAGAAGAAGAATGTTTAAAAAATCCAACACTAGAGTGTTAGTCAGTAACAAGGGAAGCCATGCTTTCCCCTTTTTGGTTAATGCCGAAAGCAGCACCCCCATTATAATAAGCTATTCGATAAACCACACAGCGCACACTATAATGAGTCACGATGCACACAGCATGCAACAATCTCTTGAAGACATCAGGAGGCACCCGATTTTCCTCGCCAAAGAAAACTCCGGGTTTCTATTCTCATGCTGATGTCTAATTCCAGGAGATCAGTTTGGGTAGATGTGCGGAGCAGCTTCATCTGCACAGAGCAGAGCGGGAGAGGAGGCGGAGGCGGGACTGTGCATAAGGCGGCTAACTCACCCTCCCGTCTCCCACCTGTCATCAGCATGCCAGCTAATATCCAATCAAATCAAAGTCCTCTCAGTAGGCAGTGAGCCTGTACAAGTATGACATCACAGTGCAGCATGACACCAAACCCCACCGTCCCCAGCAGAGGATGCCATGTCCCGGTGTTGCCTGATGTCAGACAGTGGACCTCACCTTCAACATCAGGAAGTGCAAGCTTTTCCCCTGCCTCATTTTGCACCGGATAGTGTGCTGACCTTCCCAGAATCCTTTGTGCAAACGCCTGCAAGCAACGTGGGAGTGTGAAACTGCAGGCGGGCTGAATCACAGGCCAGTCATGTCCTGATAGGAAAACAGGGTCAGATCACAATCAGATGGGCGAACTATACGGCTGACTGACCATTGATGTCATTAGAATGAAAACGAGGCCTTAACCTCGCCAGGTGCACCAAAAATACATTTATACCTCTCTGCTTCAGAGCAATGTGCTGCTCTTAAAATGCTAAATCCTAATGCTTCCAGACTGCCCCATAGACCATTGTGGTATCCGTTATTTGTGATATACAGGCATTATTCCACGCCAGCCTTTCTCACTGACCTCCCTGAAGACATCACCAGAACAAGACTAGATGCATGAAAGATCCAACAGGCACTCGTTGGGTAATGCCTGATTTTGCCAGGCACTCGTTGGGTAATGCCTGATTTTGC